TCATCGGACGCATGCTTCAGACCTTCGATTTTCCCTTCATTCGAGGATGGACTATCCTTTGGTGTGGTTGCATTGGGCCTGTCTTTTCCTGTCGATGGAGGCACCTCGGACGGTTTTCTCGATGAAATTGGGGAACGCGGTGGACGAGTTGAAGGGGGTACAGCTTTCAATAGGAGGAGTTCTCTTTCCCTCAATAGGTGGATATCTCTTTCCCTCAAGTGTTCCTCTTTTTTCCTCAAGTGTTCCTCTTTTTTCCTCAAGTCTTCCTTTGCTTTCCTCAAGTCTTCCTCCTTTTGTTCCTTTTCTTTCCTCAAGAATTCCAAACGTGCGCCATGATCCGTTGCAAACAAATGTCGATAGACTGGGTGGTCGATGAAGAACTCATCCTTGTCATAATTGTTCAGGGCTTTCAAACACACTTTCAACTCGACATTCAATTCAGCTATCTCGGAATTCACTGATTCCACAGACATCGTCAATACAATGCAATACCAACTTTTCCTACACAAACTTTCGTTCGTGAAAGTTGGCATGACCAATGACCATCGTACACGACTTACTGAAGGATATATATCATCACCGCGCATTTCCGCACGAAACGCATACAAGACAGTACCTGAAAATCATCCACCACATACTGTAACATGTGTATAATACGAAAACATCAAACATCAATATCGATGGAACGAACAAATGAAAAGAAACGAGACATGAGCAACCAAGATATTTATGTGTAAATAGAATACCTCTGGCCTTGCTGTGGATTTTCTAAATCAAGGCTCACTGCAAAACCTGTACCAGGTAAGGGTTGGTGGCATCGCTTTTGTCAACCCATCGTCTATCAACGGAACATGCTGCATGGACAGGGATACCACAAAGCTTGCAACAAAACTTGCAACGGTGCGCTCCAGGTCCTTCGTTTGCACAAGACTCGGCTTCACATCCAGCACATGCACATTTGCCTACTTTTGCTGGCGTTGTGCAAGGTTGGAATCCTCTTGTTTTGTTGCCAAACATACCAATCAGCCATGGACGTAAAAGGGCGTTGATTTCCACCACATTATTGGGGACACGATAACTTGCTACTTGATCCTCTTTGTGCTGGCGTCTGTTGAGTTCTTGTTGATATTATCATGAAGACAAAGGACCGTCAGAAGCATTATTTTGGCTCTCTTTTGTGAAGAACATCCTGTATGACATTCCTTCTTCATCTCCAGTTTCGACAACACTTCTTCATCACCTGACTCAACAATCAACACTGTTCTGTGATGGCTGGTCCATGAGGCTATCAATGCTTTGATTTGATACCGGTCGTTGTTTTGCTTGGATGCCTCACTGCCACACTCACTTGTTGCTGTATTTCCATATGGCCGATATCGTTGTCAAACCGATGACTGTTTGGAATCTTGCCTTTTGCAGCGAACCATTGGGTCCAGCAGAGACACGAAAAACTTCTAGTTTATATCCAAATTTGGATTGAGCCCAGAACACCAGTGGCGGCTTCTGTCACGACGAAAAGCAGGGATGTGGTGGTGGAGTGGCGATACCGTTGTTCAAGTTTCATCGCTCCTAGAATGCATGGCTTCATAGCCGAAGGCCTCCATAGTATAATATAACACCACAGTATAATATAAGAGATTAGTTGAATATGTTCTTCTTTCTTGGCACTTCTTCCCCTAGAATCAACTAGATATATTCTCTCCTAAGAAGTTTCGGATCGGCAGCCATCTTGGTATCTATTGGAATACTACATCTCAGCCAATTAATTGAGGGGGGCGCATGCACTTTAAGTTGTACTTCACATCCAATCAACAAAGGATAGAAAAAGATAACAATCGTTTCTTCTAGTAAACTATTTTAGGTCTTCCCCCCAAGATATGATAGGGAGTTGTTACATCATCTCCTTGACTAAAATGGTTTGAGTACTTTCAATATCGTCTCATTGTCGGGGCAAGGTTTCGAGGATGCACGATGTAGGTCCTTGCAAGATCGTCTCATTGTCGGGGCAAGGTTTCGAGGATGCACGATGTAGGTCCTTGCAAGACTGATCACCTCTTTTGGGAAGGAAGAAATTCTTCTTGAAGTACTACCACTACTAGTAGTACTAGCTAGTAGCCTACTAGTAGGCGTCAAAGATATGCCCCATGGTCCAATCGCCACGATTCACAGTAGCTGACACATCGTGTTGTCTCCAGAGGATACATGCCCCCAAGCTGCTGGGGCATTTCCCTCTTTTATCTCTGTGCGTGTCCTTGATGTGTTCTTGGAGTGAAATATGCCGCCATGAAGCGTCAAACGATATCCTGTGCTTCTATCTACGATAAGCTATGTTTACATGGTGAGGGGACGTACAGACGTTACCGTATATTAGACGATATACGTTTCAGCTGGTCACTACAGTCACGATCCACTCTGTAGTAATCGTGTTTTGAGACTTCTTTAGTTTTTTATTTAGAAATTTGTGGTGTCTCAAAACACTCTGAAATCAAACGCAGGGTTTTTTCTCGCGGACTGCTCAACATTTTGTAGACAGTCCAACTGGTCGACGAGACACCAAGGTCCCGTATTTCTCAATCACTCAATGATGGCTCCCGCTTTTTAGTCCAAATGGTCCAGACAATATAACTCTGACATACTTTCATTAAAATAGTTACTGTATGTAATACTCCTCCGATGACCTCACGGTACAAGTATTTGGCAACATATTGTCTTAGTCCACCTCGCTTCATTAAGCTTCAAGAGATAGATGATGAAGCATTTGGTAGAGGTTACTTGAGACAGGCTAACACAGCTCTCATGAATAATACATGGCGGCTGACAGTACCTCCGGATGCAACCAACGACCCGGACACCAGCGATCCTTTGAGTGGTCTGTGTCGCTTGGGTATGCTGGACCTTCTCGGCCATAATGAAGAAGAGGAAATAGTGCTTGTCATCACGATGACTAGGAACCTCAAGATGGCCAGACCATTTATTAATGGTGGGAGAAAAATGAACAGGATGAAAACAGAATATTTAGTCGTCAAGACAGCCAAAGTAAAACAAATTTCGGAGGAAGCCGCAAAGTCATGCGAAGGATTTTTAGAAATAAAGCTACCTGAAAAGAATGTAACTGTCAAGGTCCCTCTCAATTCCTTTTGCGAAGGTCGTAAAGAAGGGAAGAAAGCGATGGTCGAAATTTGGAAATCGATTCCCGACAAACCAAAACAAGTTTCGTCTTTTCTTGACAAAGGCCTGAGCGATCAAACGAACCCTCGAATAAGAACAGCCGTTTATTCGTTTTTGTTGAGCGAATCGATTGGAGACAGCATCATGTCAGCGGTGATAGCAAAAGTGTACTACCAATACAAATGGGGACTTTCTACCAAAATCTTGAAATGGAAAGAGAAAACACTTCAGGATCGTCGTGATAAAGATCGGGGCCAACAATCGGAAAGGGAAATGGCCGATGAAATAGTCGGCCAAATTGACGAACTTCTAAAAGGAAGGGCAGAGGAAGAACAATCTGGCTTTATCGAACTCTGCAAACCCCTCTTGTCAAGAAGCGACCTGATGTTCCTCCATAATCTTATCAAGGAAGAACTCCCACAGACATACAATGCACTAGAGGAGATTCAAAGGAGAAAAGACCAAGGTGCAAAGAAGAAGAGAGATGTTGACAAATTTCGCATTATCTTTGATTTCATCGTGGACGAATAGCGATAGAAGAAGGTCCTTCATCTCATTCACATCGACAGCGATTGTGTTCAACTCCAACTCTCCATTGCAAGACGGACAATTCGTATAGCATCTTTCCAATGGACGGTCTGCATCGGAAACAACTCGACCATATCGTTGCTCCATTCGCAAATGGTAGCATTCTGATGTCAAGTAGAACTCGTACGACTCGTACAGATGCCGAAGTCCTCTTTCTCTACCTTCTTCTATCCATACTGGTTGACCACTATTTCTCAATATGTTCCGATCATCAGGTTTGTTGTAGAGGCAGACATATCGACATAGAAGCAAATCGTGCAGACTAAGGAATGAATAGTGGTGATAGGATCTGTTGTCGTAAAGGCATCGACATCGACCAGCTTCTTGCTTCAGTTGAGCCACGCTGGTTGCAGCACCTTCATGTATGACTGTACCAATTGCGTGATTGTCGTATCCTTCTGATCCAGTGTTTGCAGAGATGACCATTACATTGGCATCGGGCGATAGTGCGTGGTCGGGCTTCTGCTCACAGAAAACTGAAACAAAGCTGGTCTTGACATTAGATGGACAGTCGCCATGAATAGCAAGAACGACGATATTTTCTCGTTCAGTTCCAACAGAGGACAACCGTAGGTGCCCTTGAAGTTTGGGAACTCGAGATTTGGAATTGGTGCTGACCACCACGTTCACTCCATTTTCTATCAGTGCTTGATCTACAACTATCTTTTTCACCGTGGATGTTGAGAATTTTGGCGATCGGACAGATACATGATATTGGAGTTTCCGACATTCCATTTCCGCTGGCGTTGCAAATATTCCATCTGTGAATTTGAAATGACACATCTCTTCAATATCTTCTAGTGTTGTATCATCGAACGTAGCGGACGCAAAAAGCATCTGCGGTCTTATACTGCGTTGTTGAATCTTCTCGAAAAATTGACTCGAAATGTAGTCGTACTGGGCCTGCCGAAATACCTTGCCATGTTGAGGCATGAGATGGCACTCGTCGAATACGACAAGTTTCAGTATTCCTCTCCATGCCAATCGTGTAAAATATTTACACCATTTGAAGTCTGGGTCGGCAAGCGAAGAGGGAGAACACACAATGATCAACCGTTGCTTCTTGCGTAGTTTCTTGTTTTTGCCTATTCTCTTGACAAAGGCTTTGAGCGACGCAGCGTCATTGTTTGACTTTATGTCTTCGAGATTGACAACATCAAACGCGTCCTGTCGAAACCTCTCAGCCTGAAATTCAGCCAAAGTCACATTTGGAACTATGAAGAGTGCCACGCACCTCAATGCAAGTACACTGCCCTCCATTGCGAGTGTTTTCCCGTCACCAGTTGGACGGCTCAATGCGACAACTCTGTTTAGCCTCGTCGCCATGATTTTGACGATATCAAGTTGATATTGTTTGGGTGTTTCACACCCGAGTTTCTTTTCAAAAATTTTCTTCGGAAGAGATGTATCAAGCCTCTTAATATTAACGGAGGCTTTTAAAAATGTAATGCGGACATTATTTTGTTGTCAAGCTCGTTCGGAGAAGTGGTTATTGGAGAGGAGCGGGATTCTTGTGGTCGATTTGAAGCAGCATCTGTTTGATTGGCCGTTCCAGGCGTGACCAAAGGTCGCCCTGGTCGTGGGATGGGTGTTGTTGATACTATTGTCATTGTTGGACAAAAATAAAATGGAGTATGGCACTATATATTGAAAGTCGAAAACCGATCATTTGGATTAAAAAGCGGGAGACAATGCTGGAGGGAACTTCCGAAAAGCCTGTCTTGTCGACCACTTGGACTAGCACAAAATGTTGAGCAGTCCGCGAGAAAAAACCCTGCGTTTGATTTCAGAGTGTTATGGAGCATAACAGATGTGACTGAGGAACGAAGTACAGACGGCGTCTGTCATGCGACATCAAACACGATTGCTACAGAGTGAGTCACGATCTATCCCGCCTAAAAATAATAGCGTACGGTATCCAACAAGCGTAGAATAAAATACAGTACAGTACCGGTATATCCAAGACTGAAAAACAACGTATCATGATGGATATCAGATGATGAGATATTCCTCTTCTTTTCTTGTTTCACTGCAAAAAGTCACACATCACAATCTTTTATTTATTCACAATATAGCAACCCCAAGGATTTTAAGATTATAGAATAGAATAGAATAGAATAGAATAGCAATGGGTGGCAATAATGGCAATAACAACAACGAACTTTTACTAAAAGCTGTCAAGGAAGGAAAGCTACCCCGTGTACGAGAATTGTTGGAAGGAGGAGCAACAGCAACAGCAGCAGCAGCAGCAGCAACAGCAACAGCAACATCCGGCGCTACGGTGGACATCAACGCCAAAGACCGCAATCATGGTGGTGAAACCCCATTGCATTTGGCCTGTGATTTCGGACATTTTGCGATTGCCAAGCTCCTTATCGAAAAAGGTGCTGGTGTTCGTGCCAGAAGCATTGAAAATGAGGAGACGCCATTGCACAAGGCTTGTGAAAAGGGACATTTGGAAATTGCAAAGCTGCTGGTCGACAAGGGTGCTGATGTTCGTGTCAAGAGTGACAATGGATCGACACCCTTGCACTTTGCGAGTCAAAATGGTCATTTGGAGGTCGTCAAGTGGCTTTTGGAAAAAGGTGCGGACTTTCGGACCAAGGACGATGATGGAATGAAAGCATCCCATCATGCCTGTTACAATGGTCATTTGGAGATTGTCAAGTTGCTAATTCTCGAAAAAGGTGCCGACGTTCATGCCAAAGATGAAGATGGAGAAACCTTATTGCACAAGGCATGCGAAATGGGTCATTTGGAGGTTGTCAAGTTTCTTCTCGAACAAGGCGCGGACGTTCATGCCAAGAACAAATATGGATCGACTCCATTGTACTTGCCATGTCACAATGGTCATTTGGAGGTAGTCAAGTTGCTGGCAATCGATAAAGGAGCAGAGGTTCGTGTCAAAGACAAATACGACAAAACTCCGTTGCATCATGCAAGCTACAACGGCCACTTGGAGGTAGCCAAAGTGCTTTTCGAGAAAGGTGCTGACGTTCAAGCCAAAGACGACGATGGATGGACACCATTGCAACGGGCGTGCACTAAGGGACAATTGGAGATTGTCAAATGCCTTCTAGAGAAAGATGCTGATGTGAAAGCCAAAGATAATCGTGGGCATACACCATTGCACGAAGCATGTGAAAAGGGATACATCAAGCTAGTCAAGGTGCTCCTCGAGAAGGGTGCTGACGCTGATGCCAAAACCATTGATGGCGAAACTCCTTCCGACGTCGTACAATCCGACGATGTGAGGGGTCCCAGGATTCAAGCAATTCTGTCCGGGCAATTGGAAATCAACTCGACCGATGACGCAATATCCATCTTCCCTGATGCCGTCTTGTCGGATGTCGACGAAGCAAGCTTCCCTTTGCATTGCGCTGTCAAATATGGAGATTTGGATGTCATCAAAGATGTGTTGCAAGACATTTCCAATGAGGATGAGAAGAATACTATTGACTCTAATGGCAGAACGGCAATCGACTTGGCGGCACTCACTGGCCAAATGCAAGTCTTGAAACTGCTCGCTGATAATGGCTGCAAACATGAAAGACCCAAACCCAAGATGATTGCGATTTGCAAAAAGAGAAGCGATTTATCAAAAAAGTATTTGGAACAAGTGAACGATTCCCTGTAGCAGAAGCACAAGTGGTATTTTCATGTGGCAGTACACACCGGTACTACGATGCCCTAAAAGATCAGTCAAATAAACAAATTTAAGACTACGAGAACAATGTTCATCTTGGTCTATACTAAGACTAATTTCATAGTCTTGCAACAACTTTTTTTAAAAAAGGTTTAGCGATGTCCACGAATGAATCGCCATAATAGTATGCCATCGATGACATTATTGTGAAGACACCATTTACAGCCGAGCCGTCTTTCAACGACAATCGACGAATCATCGAATAGGTATAATATAACAGATGGTTTCACGGCATGCCGAATGATGAGGCTCCTTATTTCCCATCAGCCGTTCCAATGCCAGAATTATGCCTGTCCATATTCAACTCTGCACATAGTGACTAAGAAGGGTTTAGTAGCGTTGCAGCCGCAGCTTTTCTTGTCCGAAAGAAGCAATCAATTTTGAATGTCTCAAGCGCGTTCTGATAAAAAGATCTCAAAAGCGCCTTCAATGATTTCACCGCAAGAGACTTTTTGAAAACAAAACAAAAAGTAGTGGTGCAAAGGAAACTCAAACATGCACTGCATGCGCAAGAGGCTTTTCGTTACGGCATGCACAATGCTGCCATATCCGGATGTTCCTGTCCAGTAAGGGTGGGTCTTCAAATGATCCCAAGTGCCGTTTGGTGGTAACTGTTCCATTGCGTCCTCCAACTTCCCCTATTCTCCATAGACGTTTCCAATACATTGATGATAAGCTATTGCAGTTGGGGATGTTTAGTGTCCGAATGCCTTCAATTCCATCTCAATCGCTTTTTGTTGAAAACGCTTAAGAGTGCCCCCCAATCGCTTTTTGTTTAAAACTCTTAAGAGTGCCCCCCACTTATTGATTGCAAGAGCCTTTTCGATTTTTTGACAAACTACCTCCCACATGCAATGGATTTTCAAAGCCAGTCTTAGGTTCTGATATGTGCATGCCGTGAATGGATGTTTTGGTCCAAATGCCTTCATGTTGATAGCAAGCGCCATTCGAAATGGCTGCAGAGCTTCCTCGAACTTGAATTGATTGCCCAAGACGACTCCTATTGCTTCATATGTTGCACCTGTTTTGGTGTGATGTGGTCCAAATGCTTGCAATCTGATAGCAAGTGCCTTCTTAAGTTGCTCCAGAGCTTCTTCCAACTTGCCTTGCTTGCCCAAGACTACTCCAATTGCGTGACACGTCGAACCAATTTCGGCATGATGTGGTCCAAGAGTCGTCAGTCTGATCGCAAGCGCCAGTTGATATTGCTCCAAGGCCTCCTCGCGCTTGCCGTGCTCACACAAGACGGTTCCAATACAAAAACATGTTGTTGCGGTTTCAGAATGCATCAGTCCAAATGACCCCAGATTGATCTGAAGTTCTATGTGGTATTGCTGCATGGCTTCTTCTAATCGGCCTTGACCTTGCAAGTAATTTCCTATTTCGCGATACGATGAAGTATACGGATGCTCCGGTGCAAGTGTCTTCAATTTGGTCGCTAGAGTTAGTCGTCTTCGTTCATCCTGGTCAATTGTTTCTTCTCGTTTGTGATTGAGGCCACCGGCTTTAGGATTTCCAGCTGCAGGAAGAGGGGGCCGACGATCAACGGGTTGTCCTGCGGAGCTTTGGTCGGAAGAGATTTCGTCATTATGATTCTCTGATGAAAAAAGTCCAAAAGTAACACTTATTCTTCGTGCTTCATAATGATCATCGCCCCTCTCATCCGCGAAGGGATCTTGTTTGCGGGGAAGATGAGGGGGTGTGCGTGCGCTGCCAGATGTGAGTGTAGAGTTTTCAACAGTTTGATCACTTCTCAATTCGATAGTGGTAACACTCACTGCCGAAGAAAACAGAGATGAATAAACTTTTCATATTTTTTGGAAATAATAATAAGCAATGAGAGTGAGATTGAGTTTATTCCGTCAATATAATAATCGAACGCACAATAAGACTATAGATTCAATCATTCTTGTCGTACGTCGGTTTATTGAATGGCTCATATTGTGTTGCTTTCCTCAGCTCGGCGCTTGTTGTTGTCGCTCTTCTCTCATTTGGATTTTTAAATGAGTGATGGATGATGATACAGTAACAGGCGATGCGGTTATCTATTTTATAGAAGATATTCTATAGGATGACATAAATATTATATGATGATGATGAGACATTGCAAATATGTAAAAATGCATTTCTTTGAATCCCGCGAAGTAGTCTGGTCGTCGTACACGTACACGTACGGTGTATGTACATGCACGCGGGAATGTTTAGAAAAGATATGGATACTGGATTGTATAGTAGACTTTCTACTTACGGATTTTGGAAAAATGCATTTTTCGAAAATCTGAAACCGATAAAAAAGAAGGCGGCAACGATGAATAACGAAGGGATTATGTGCAACAACAATAATGTTATGTTCATAACATAAAATGAATGGATGAGTGGACTGTTTTGAAGTTCTGTTCGAAGACAAACGACAGCTGGAGGAATCACCACCACCACTACTAATAAACAACAAAACAAATTGAAGACAATGAATAATAACCAGAATATGAATATGGACTTTTTGAATGGCATCACTGACCAGGATGTACTGTGCCATAGCGGCAAAGGCAAACATCCAGGAACTAGCAACCTCCGGCAAACCATTGAAGATAATTTTGTCGATTATCAAGAAGCTAACAAACAGAGAAGAAAAGAAATTGCCAACGACATTGTTTTTGACGTCCAACAGAGTGGTGGGCGATTCATGAAATGGGATAAGGATAATCAACGCTACTTCGAGCTGACGAACAAGGACGCAGTCAAGCGTGTACGAATTTCATTTGGCAATTTGAAACACACAATCAATCAAGCTATCCCAAAGCTCCTTGAAGATCCTGGCGCTGATGTAGCCCCACGACCACCACCTGCTGTGCAAGCAACTAGGAGGAGAGGAGAAGAACCACATATCATTGGAAACGATTTCTTCTTTTCCGTTGGAGATTCTGTTGCTACTGCACAAAGACTAATGAACAACGGCGACGATTTGTTGACCGTTGGAGTGACTTCCGCGTCTTTGGATGGTAATCATCTGCACGATGATGACCCTTCGTTTGACGTCCAGTTTCAACACCAGCAAGATCAACAAGACGATGACGATGACGACGACGAGACTGCAGTTCTTAGCAACAAAGCAGCACTCCGGGAAGACGATTACGACGATTCGCCAAGAGCCATGCTGCTGGCCCTTCTATCCAATGACGAGGGAGGCAAGCAGCTCGCTCAAACTCTCTTATCCATTGTGAACTCGGCCGGTCATCAAACAATAACGGCGAAACCCAGAGCCGTCCTCAGAACTTTGACATTGGACGAGGAAGCAGAGGAGACTCTCATGGCGGCAAAGGAGTCCCTGCTGATGGAACAAAGGAAGCAGTCAAAACGTTTCAGACGCAATGCCCCAGAGACAACTGAAGGAACTCACCTATCAGAAAGGTTGGAGGACGATGCAATGACAAAATCCAGTTACAGTTCTCAATCCGTGCTTTCTTTTCAGACGAAACAAGACATTCCCAAACTTGAAATTGTGAAGAATCTTAGAATGGGTCGCAAGAAGGGATGGAAAAAAGACAGAACTTATACTGGTTCAACCATGGGGGAGGACAAGAAGCCTCATGGGATGGGTTTCATGATCTACGATCACGGCAGAATCCTTTGCGGCGATTGGTAGGTGCATATGTATATTCTATTGTCATTTTCATTCTGCCTGCTTTGGACTTTCAAAGTTAATTTTGAATATGATACTCACTCTTCTTCCGCGGGTTTCGCTTTGAATACTCAGGCTACATGGAGTCTTCCAAGGCAGAGGATTGGCAATCTATGAGGAAACTGGGGACATGTGTTTTGGGACCTTTCTAAAGGGTGAGGTGCATGGCTATGCAACCTTCATGACAAAGTACACCAAGTACGTCGGCACATACTACAAGAACCAAAGGCACGGAAAAGGACTGCTTATCGACGTTCAAAGGGGCACGTACAATGGTGACTTTGTGCAAGGCAATTTCGAAGGCCCTGGCGTCTATACTGCCATGAATGGGGACATTACAAAAGGAGACTTTGTCAATTGGAAACTAAAAGAGGAAATCGATGATACCTGCAGCAGTGAGGCAGACGACGAGGAATAAGCCACCAACGCGAAAATGTAAAAGCGACAAGTAAGCTCGGTGTGCTACGATCCTTGGTCTCCTGCAGTTTTAAATATCGATTCCAATGCGCTTCATCACCGTTAAGAAGAAGTTTCCTGTGGTATGTGGCGTGTGGCGTGTGATGTGAGAATCGCAATCTTCTAGAGGAAGTTACATTCTGAACTGCGCTACTAGTTGTATGCAACCAGCTAATCGCGTTACTATACTTTTTTTAAAAGCTTCTGTGTGTGTCCAAGCTGTGAACCTTTTCTGTCAGTCGAAACCGCTGCTAGAGCTTCATCCTCTTTTTCTACTTGCCACTGGCACTCTTCTAGTGGCACTATGGCTTGCCGTATACCAACGAGCTCTAAGCACAGCTGCCATATTATTATCTCAGGGCAGATTTCCCTTCAGATCTTTGACTTCTTGTGGTGTTGGCAACTGCTCGTAGCGACCCAGATCAGGCAGACTGTCGTCACAATTGAGTTCGTGCTGGGTGTCCCACTCATCTGTTGGTGCGCACTCCTTACTGAGGACGATGCCGAGCCTCTCCGCATCGTTCAGTACTACTATGTAATACTCTGGGTTGGTCAGTTGGGTATCGAAGGTTCTGATGCACTTGAAACCGGTTTGATGCAGAATTCTTAACAATCCGATCTCAACTTCTTCGTTGAAACTCTCCTCGGTTGCCTCGCCACCGCCGTTGGCTCCATTGTCGTTATCTGGCGGTCCAGCAAATGATGCTCTCGGCTTTTACTGTCGCTCAGGTCTATACTGTAGTACACCACCTCAAGAAACACAAATTCTCCACAATATCATGCAAATATGCTGACTTATTTGCTTTTAAATGTGCGATGATCAAGATCAGTACTAAATGCCATATTCAATATGCGGAGGAGTCGAAACTTTGTACTCGTCAGTCCCACTGCCAACAGAAAACGCGCTCTATGGACTATAGTCATGATATCGATGTGTCTGCGATGGATTACAAAATGCGGTATTTCATGTCATCCTACAGTACCGGTATGTACAGTATGGTCGTGCGTTTTTATGAGTGGCGATACCTCTAAATTGAAATCAGAACAGCTGGATGGTGGCGGAACATCGATTAGTGTGTGTACTTCACTGGGTCCCACAGGTACCTGGTACCGGTTAGGTTCTCCATTTTTGACAAAATCCGCCACGTAAGCACTGTCTTTTATAAGTAGTCGCTATAACAAATTTTTCCGAAACTCAACAACGCGTAAGAGATACCCCGGTGCCAGAAAACAAAACTCGACTTCAACAAAGAACAGACAAATTCTCTCATAAAACGCGAGGCTACATTAGATTCCAACCACAATGGCAATGATCATCGCTGCCGAAAACGAGAAGCATCGGACTCAAAGCGAGAGCTGCAGCTATTCAAATATTTTGGATGAGGGCCTATTGTCACTTGTTGTGGTGCCACAACCACCATGCCCTTTGCCGTTCTTCGAACCGACAACAGTATCGTCTTCTCCATTCGTATCTTTGCCACTTTCTTTTGAGGATCCCTTTGAGGATCCAAGCATGGAGCCTATTCCTCTTGGTCCCGACACTTCAAGCTGTCAGCAAGTCTCATCTCTTCAATCGGCACACGACGCCTCATCTCTATTCGTCACAGATGGTGCGGATGGACTCCCAGATTCATTTATCCAACTGAACAAGAGAAAGCCAACGGGTGCCAAATCTCTTCGGCAAGACCTGCTAAACATTTTAGACCCTGTCGTTGATCTTCTTGGTCCCAAAAGAAGCTCCGAAGATCTCTCCTCCAACAACGAGCAAGGCCCATGCAAGCGCCAACGGACGCGCCAGCTGGAAGAAGATGCCGTTGACAGCGAAAGCAGAGCTCGCTTTCGCCCATATCAAGAGCAGCAGTGGAGAGAACAGTTCCAAAAGCTCATCCAATACAAGCTTGCACACGGACACTGCTGTGTTCCTCACTCTTACCCGGTCGACCCTATCCTTGCCCGATGGGTGAAGCGACAGAGGTACCAATACAAGAAGTTTCAAGACCGTTGCTCTTCATCTACCATGACGACCCGCCGCATTCAAGATCTGGAATCCATCGGGTTTGTATGGCACTCTCACGCGGTAGCATGGAAGGCCAAGCTGAATGAACTCATGATCTTCAAGCAACAAAGAGGCCATTGCAATGTCCCATCCTATTATCCAGAAAACGTTTCGCTCTCCACATGGGTAAAGTGTCAGCGACGACAGTACAAAATGTACGTCTCTGGCTCTCCTTCGTCCACTATGACGATGGAACGATTTCAAATGTTGCAATCCCTGGGCTTTGTCTTCCACGTACCAAAATCTAGGATGTAATGATAGTTTGTTAAAGGATAGCAATCAGTTTTGTATAGAATACAACTGTTATCTAGTAGTGTTCTTCTTGGAGGAGGAGCGAGCGAGGCTCGTCTGCAACCGAAACCAAGGACATGCTGTAGAAGTCCCATGAATGAATTGGCAAGTAAGTACAGGCGCTGGGCTAAAGGTTTTGTTCTCCTCAGCAGGTCTATGGGATCTCCCTGTGTCACAGATGATTCTCGTCTTCTTGCTATTTGCCCTCTAACACAGTGCGGCACAGTGGTGCTTACTGCAGGTTTGTGTAGCCATATCGACCCACGTGTCACATACGACGTCGTCTGCGTTTCAACGGATTTGAAAAATTTGACTCCCAAAATCGAAAACTACCTGGCGAACATATTATTGCGTCATCGCTGTTTCGTTTGGATTTTCGAAGCTTCGATTGATTCATTCCTCCAACCAACAATAAAAGAAGTCATCTCTTATTTTTAATTAACTCTATACGTATTATCGTTGGGATAGTTGGCAATGATCTCAAGTCAAAGACTTCTTATTTCGCTGGCTCTTCTTGCTGGCGGAGTCTTGAGCGTCAAACAAACAATAGAAGCCGTAGAAGAATTTCATGACATGTTAGTCGCGTCCTCAGGCTCGCCATTCGATGACGGTTTGGCAACCATGTCGCAGATGGAGGTGAATCCTGAAGATGCACTCTGTTATAATGGAACCTTCTATGTGCTAGACTTTGATCTTCCAGGGGGATTGGTCAGCGCATTTTCGGCTAGGGAGACCCTCTACTGTTTCTTGACGGGAACATGTGATTTTGCAGGTTCTGCCTTTGCACAAGCCGCCGCAGAAAACTGTGCCGACGCCAATGGACGATTGGTCATTTCGGATCTATACGTCTGTCGGACCGAATTTGGAGCGGAAGGGGTGGGCAGCAACGAAAACATCAAACTGGCAAATCTACCCCTATGTGTTGATCCAACCTGTCCCGAAGACACGACTTATCAAAAGATTCTGAAGACGTCTTACGCACTGGGATTGGGTGGTGATCCTTCCTTTGAAGGAACCTTTACAGGAAAATGTGCGCCCATAGAGATTGATTGGAAACCAGACTCGGCGCCTTTTGAGCAATTGTCCGCAAACGTTGGCGATGAAGTAAGTAATCAACGTGTTGTCACGCGAACATTTCTTGCTGCTCTTTCTAATAAGAACGCTGCCACTTCGCTTCGATTGATTTGGTTTGGTTTGATTTGATTTGATTTGATTTGATTTGATTTGATTTGATTTGATTTGATTTGATTTGATTTGATTTGATAGATAGTATTCAAATATGGCTCGGTAGAGTCCAATGTGTACATTCATCCAGACGGTGGTTGCGATAAAGCAAATGCTATTCTGGTGGGCAGTACTGGTCCAACATCGTATACCTTTACAGAAAGTGATGCTGGAAAGACTATGGTATTTGCAACTGACATGGGATCTCGTTGCGAACAGGGACAAATACTGAGTGTTGTCGTTCAAGGAGAAACTCGAGGTCCAGAGGTGATTGAAATTGATTGGGCAATACCGGCCGAGCCATATGCCAACCGAACGGCTAGAGTTGGAGATACTGTAAGTATTCTGTTCGATCGATAGTTTTTCGCTCAGTGATTGCTCCATTCTCACGGTTGCTTTCTTTTGACTTCAATACGGTAGGTCAAATTTACGTACAGTACCTCACATAATGTGTACAAACATCCGTCAGGCACTTGCGATGAAAAGCACAGTTTGCTCGTGGGTGGCACGACTGGTCCTGGATTTTATCGATTCATTGCCAATGATACGGGAACGACCGTTACCTTTGCGTGCAATGTCGGCTCCCATTGCGAAGTGGGCCAAATCATTCATTTCCAAGTGGAAGGAGGGGCTAGAGATGGTGCAACGGTTCCAACATCTCCACAAATTCCCACCATGGCACCATCGGCAGCGCCTACCTTGTTGCCAGCGGATGACTTTGCGGCGGCCATTGCCAATGGTGACTGTAAGTATAGACTCGACTCGATTCGATTTCGAGTTGATTATGATTTGACGATGCAACTATATGCTCACTTACACATGCATAAAAATACCACAGACGATGTCATTTTGGATGTTCGAACAGAAACCGAGTTTAATGCAGGACACATTGAGGGTGCCACCTTGGCGGAAAGCTTGGCAGGCTTTGGTAACATGGGACACACGGGAGCGTCTCCTTCCGACTTGGCTGGATGTGAATTCTGTACCATTGGAGTCTATTGTCGTACGTTGACGGTGTTGTTTATGCATGATGGAAGTTGGGATGTGTTCTCATGATATTTTTTTCTCGCGATTGAAAAGGGACTGGAGCTCGAGCCAGATCAGCAATTCAGGTACTATTGAACAGTGGATTTCAAGGGAAGCTTTATAATGGTCAAGGAACGAGCCAATGGACAAATGCTGGGTATCCACTTGTAACTGGCAACTCAGTCGTCCCTCCTTGTACAACCTCTGGCCAGGACAGTTGCGCTGCAGCAGTGCCGCCAACGGAAGCTCCCAAGGGCGACATACCCGATCGTAAAGAACCGAAACCCGAAAACAAGAATGGATTCAAGATTCAACGAACCAGAACAGGCACCGATTTCACACAACTTGGTGTCCGTGGAGGGGGTCGACGAATGGTGACCAATCTTATACCAGAAGAGATGGAGTAGAGTACATGGTTACAGAGTCAAATGTGAATAATGAATTGACTTCATTCTTGTGTGTTAAAAATAAATTTTGTCGTTTTCTAATTATTACCTATTCTTCTAGTACCTGGTAGGCCACGATTTTCTTGAGGTCATCCCGGTACACTGTTGACGGCGGTGCAATTTCCCAAAATTTAATCAAATGTATGGGTTCAAGCCGCTTCTCATCTTCATTGAGTGGGCTTGTAGTCAACATAATTCAAAAAACATTGAATTGGGCATGGTCATAGTCATAATAAAAATGTATTTCTATTTCACCTCCAAACTATACATACTAATTCGTGCAGTAGGTTCAAATATGTTTAATATCGTGCCCCTAGCATCCCCATAACTCTAGAGACGCAGCCATTTGTACCGTTTTAGCTGGCTCGAAGCTTCTTCGATGTTGTTGGAGTGCTAGTAGTAAGACAAGACTCCGAAATGGATCTCTTTCGTGCAATCCCCACTGGTACTGATGATTCTTCGTCCAGCTTCTTCCCACCGATCGTCGACGCAATGTCGGATATTCGCGAACGCAGAGCCCCCCATCGAACCTCGAAATCGACAGGCAACTCGGCGCCTCGCATGGAATTAATTTCCACTACAGCTTGCTCAATACTTGGAGTATTGAAAAGACTGGAAAGATCGCCTTTCAAACAATGCAGTTTCTCCCATACAAACGGCCAGTTCTCCTTCAAAGAAGAGTCTGATTCTTCCGAGCACAATTCATCCACGGCATCCAAGTTTGCCAGGAGTTCCTGCACCACAAGGGATAGAAAGTCGGATATTGCTGCTCCACCGGAATTCAAATCCGGTACTGCAGCACAAGTAGTAGGGCTCGCCCTTGTTGGCAAGTAATTGAATCGCTGCTCCCAGAGTGGAGCAATCGCCTCCACCACAGACGACGATCGTACTGGTGCCTTTGGAATAAATCCATGGGCGCGAGAGAGATAGGTTGCAATATCTTGAGAAGAGTCATTGGCAGACCTAACAAGACTTAGCATTCTGGCTTCCAGCGTGGGATCCAGCCGTTGTCGCACTTTTTGTATGCACTCCGAACCAGACACAGTGACTTTCAAGGTTCCATTCTCGGTAATGTCCAAGTTTTCATCCGCCACCACCAAAAAATAGTCATTGGGGTTTCGTTCCACAAGGTCCACGAGGAAAGAGTCAAAGGATTCAATTTCTTCGGTCGTATATCCCTTGACAATCTGGCGTGATTCCGCAACTCCGGCATGGGAGAGGAACCTTGAAAGAAGTTTCCTTTGAATCTTGGAATCATCAATTGCAACTCCCCATGCATTCTTTGGAATCTGGAAGTGTTCGGACTTGACGGACAATTCAAATTTCTTCGCAGGGCACACCAGAGTAAAGACCGTCATATCGGATTCAAATCGAATGTCGACATTCCCTCTCAATGTTTCGGCACATTTTTGCATGATCCAAGCACCATCTCCTGCCGAATGCGAGCTTTCCTTTTGATGCAGCCTCTGGCCTGGCGCAAAGACTTGAGCCGGAGCACTGGAACCCAATTTCAACAGTGCTTCGTGTTCTGGCCCAGGCAGGTTGACAACCTCCATTTGTAGCAATTGCGTCGATTCGTCATAGGACACCTTTGTGGTGACTGGCCCATTGACCCTTCCGTATTTACAGGCATTGCTCACAGCGTTTCGGTGTATGTACAAAAGTAGCTGTGGATCCAAATGTAGTGATGGCATTGGCGATGGGGAGACTTGCAAGGAGAATTGGTCGTGCATCGTTTCCGAAGCATGAAGTAACTGCTTTAGTTCGACACGTTCCAATTTGGGTTCATAATTCCCATGGATGACATCTCGTGCCATCGCCTCGGATAGAATTGTATCCAGAATCGTCTTGAGTGTCTTGTCGAGTTCTTCCGTGTAAACGGCAATGTTTTGGTTGTTAGGCGATTGATCTCTATCGCCAGCACTCGCCTCAGAATTCAAATTGGCCAGCACCGCTCTACTACTAGCAACAGCAGAGGATAGTTGGGAGGTGGTTCCAGCCCGCGCAAGCTGCCCATCTTGCACTCTTGGTTGACCGTTACCACTACCATGACCACCACCAACCGCAAAGGTTGACTCCTTGAGACTCTCGCACAAATCAATGGCTGCCAAAAGACCATTCTTGACTTCATGTCGAGTGAATCTATTGGCTTCGGCATCCTTCTTTCTGGCAGTCGTCTCTAAGATGGTCTTCTTTTCCGCTTCAAAGCGTTTGGTCCGTTCCGAAATGTCTCGGACCACCATTAACATGGCATCATTATCAAGGGTACAAATGTTGGCTTCGCATTTGATAAAGACTTTGGCTCCATCGGCAATTTTTAATAGTCGGTGATTCATGCTTCGACTGCCAGTCTTTTGGTTCCAGGCACGGCCCACCATACCGGCCAAAGAGGTGAGGAGACTCTCGTCCACGTCAATTTCCATGGTGCCCAGACCAAATTCACCAGCCGCCGTTTCATCGGTTGCCCCAACACTCACATTGTTGTTGCTCCTGTGACGATTGTTGTTCTTGCTGCTGTTGCTAAGGTTGCTATCCTTGCCTTCGGTATTTTTGCGGAATACCTTGGACCCAGAGGTGGGCAGTACGGGAAAATTGATTTCTCGTACGGTCCTCACCTGCAACTTGGAGTAATTTTTGCGGCGAATGTGTTTTTCGTCGACTTCAAAGACAATCGCCTTTGGTTTGGAGGAGATCCCATGAAATTCCCGGAGATAAGCCGGACTGACCATGGTGGTAATGGCGCCACCGATTCCTTGGACCGAGACGCAAATGGCATCTGACGAGCGTTCCCAAATGGCGGACATTTGTTGGCGGAGTTCCGCCAGTCGGCGTTCGGCTCGTTCGCTGTCATCAAAGGCCACCTTGTGGACTTGGACAATGATATCCATATACAAGTTTTTGAGGACGACGTCCATGGTGGCTTCCCACAACATGATGAAATAGGTTCGTTGAAAGATGGGCAGCTGGGAATCCGGCACTCCGGGTGGTCTATAGAATGCAGCTGCTCCTGCAAAGAAATACATGAGCACCAAGGTGGACCATGCAATGGAACAGGTCATCATTAGTTTGTATGACAAATTGGCCCGGTCCCAGAGTTCGACCGAATGGGCACTGCAGCCCTTTTCCATTTTGCCAAAGGATTTCTTTTGTTGAAAGAGGGCTACAAAAATGCCGCACCACAAGACGCAGGAAATGATCATCCATACGGTCCAAGACTCGACGGTCTGACAGAAAGGGAATATCAGCCCACAGACAGTGGACAAAGATTGAGAGGCACCAATCACATAACCCGTTTTAATGCCAGACGCAGGATCGACACCAGCCACGACAAAGGTCATGCAAAAACTGAGGCACGTCCATTCGCACCACCGTAAGAGAAAGACTCTTGTATTTAAAACAGGATCCATCATCACTGGAATGGGAATCCCGCAGGCCATTAATGCGTTGGTGCTCATGGCTACCGTTTGGACTGCTAGCGAGGCCCACAAAACTCCGCTCATGCGAGCATTATTGGGTTTGGATTCCAACCACAGCAATTGAAAGAAACGTGCCAGCAAACTAAAACCAAGAAAGGAAGCAGAAAAGAAAGCTGCGTAAAGCTCAGGTCCATCCAAGACCTCCAAACTCTCTTTGGGAGCAAATGTGTAAGACACTCCAATCAAAGTGAGCCACACGACAATGATGGAACAAGCGACAATTCGGAAATGAAAATCGATTTCTTTCACTTCATTTAAATAATCCCGCTGGCTGAGCGGATTCATAATTGTGGATATTGGTGTCTTTGTTTGCAGTGCCTTTGTTTGCTTGCTTGTTTGTATGTTTGTTTGTATGTTTGTATGTTTGTTATTGCAGTGTAGTTGCTACTGGTGTTCTCGGTGTACCAGTATTATTGTCAAAGAAGAAGACGAGGAAGAAGAATGGTTTTCATACAGATGAAATCTGACTGACATTCAGCACCACACACATTGACAGTGATCCCGTTCACGGTCATTACCGTAGGAACCAGAGATCAGTGACGACAGCAGTTTCAGTTTTCAAACTTAGGTAATATATCCAGTCATTTAACGCCGACGGGATATTTGGCTTTTTCAACCACTTTCGGAATAAGTGCGGCAATTCGGAATATTGCTGCTCGCTTTTCCGTCACATTTAGAGTCATCGATTAAATTGATATAAGGAAGGCCGGAAAGAGAAAGGTCCCAACACCAGGACTCCCCGCAACTCGTCTGTCTATCCACCGACTTTTGAGCGTCGGACGCGATTACTACGCACGGGTCTTCCCCCCCGCCAGCAGGGAGCCCCTCATATAAATTAAAACGACTTTTTGAAACCGATCAAAGAAATCGAAACAAGTCACGGTGACAAGAAACCGATCAAACGATTTTGAAACCGATCAAAGAAATCGAAACCGATCAAACGATTTTGAAACCGATCAAACGATTTTGAAACCGATCAAACGATTTTGAAACCGATCAAAGAAATCGAAACCGATCAAACGATTTTGAAACCGATCAAAGAAATCGAATCATGTCAAAAAAATGAGTCACGAAAAAAATTGAAAATCCTGTCAA